CTAGGGCCCGGAGCAGGCCCTTGTTCCCTTGCTGTAGGGTTGGGGTTCCCATCCCCTTCAAACCAAGAAGGGTGCCCTTTTTTAATCCCTAGGTTACTCCTGGGTGTAGGGGTGTTTGGGCTCAAGAGATTGCAGGCTGAACCAACCAAAGCTTTCGACTCTGAAGTGGCAAGGAAGGAGTAAGGTCTTCCATGACTTTAATTAGGGCGAATTAAGGTTTAGGGTTTTAAGTTGAACCGTAAGGTTCTAAGCTCGTCGCGACACCGTGAACCATGAGACTCATCACGTAAAGCTGCCTCCAGCGACGAAGGATGTCTTGATCCCGAGCAGTGCCTACCCCCAACGCCTTGGCCAGATGAAGATCCCTACGACACACTGCTGCTGCGCATGAGCATCATGCTGCCGGGGCGCCCGGGTGGGTTTTCGAACCCTAAGCCCCAAACCCTCAACCCTCAGCCCTCAGCCCTCAGCCCTCAACCCTCAACCCTGAACGTTGGCTCGGGGAAGCCAAGAAAACACATTGCGAAGCCACGAGCTCCTGTTCGGTTCCTTCATGAGGGTGCTCGACCCCGAGCTGCACAACAGAAATGTGCAGATGGCTCAAGCTCTGAAGCCTAAACCCTAAACCCTAAACCCTAAACCCTAGACGCTAAACCCTAAACCCTCAACCCTCAACCCTAAACCCTAAACCCTAAACCCTAAACCCTAAACCCTAAACCCTAAACCCTAAACCCTAAACCCTCCATCCATGTGAAGGGCCCACAGTGGCGAGGATGCTTCAGACGAGGCGGGGCTTTTTGGGTTCACCCTCAGCGCTGAACCCTGACCCCTCAATCCAAACAAGTCCCCAAAAGATCTTCCCCTTGTAGGCCCAGTACATCTTTCGCACCACGAGGCCTGGGGGCCTGCCAAAAAGCCAGGAAGTTTACGTGCCCTCAACTTCCAAGCCCTAAGCCCTTGAGGCTAAACCTTCTCTGATTCTTTACACCTTTGCTTAAACTCATGGCCTGGCCCTTAAAAACTTTATAAATCTCTGCAACTCTTTTTGAGTGCCCAGTTGCAGCTGCATGGCCGATGGGCTGCCTTGTTGCAGAGCGCCGGGCCTGGGCCTTATGCTTTATGCCTCTTCTGTGGGATGTTCCCCCTTACAGGAACAGTTCTTAGTAGGATTATAGTAGGGGGTCCTAGAAACCCTAGTAAGGACTGTTAGTATAAGAGGGAAAATCCCACCTCTGCTTGTCAAGCGCGCAGCATCTGCAATGCTTCCGGGCGTGCTACGAGAGTTACCTGGACCATCTAAGCCTTAAGCCCGGATTCGCCAGAAGTCTCCGGAGGCCTGGGGACATGCTGCAGCTCGAGGGGGCCGAGGACAAGGGTGTGGTTTAGGGTCTAGGATCTAGGGTTTAGGATTAGGTTTTGGGAGGTTGACGGCCCTTGGGTTTCTTGCACTCTCCACAACAGGGCTCATCCAGAGGTAGTGGGACCCGGGAGGTTGGGGCACTCGACAACACTCGCCCTTCTCCGAAACTTTGGGGCTTAGGGTTTCCGTGCCTTGAGCTCGACTTCTCTCGAGGGGATGCGGCCCATTACAAGATCTCCCCGCATCTCCTGCCAAGGATCCACGCGCCCCTGACGCCATCTCGAATCCCTAAACCCTAAACCCTAGACCTTAAGCCCTAAACCCTAAACCCTAAACCCGAACCCCAAACCCCAAACCCCAAACCCTAAACCCTAAACCCTAAACCCTAAACCCTAAACCCGAAACCCTAAACCCTAAACCCTGAACCTAAGCCCTAAACCCTAAACCCTAAACCCTAAACCCTTCAGCAACCCTGGCACGAAGAGGGGAGTGTGCACGCCCCAGGAGCTTTCCGACGAAGGGCTCTCACCTTGGCAGGGTTTTGCCCGACATTTGGAAGGGCATCAAGGGTGAAATTCGTGTTCAGGGTTTAGGGTTTAGGGGTTTAGAGTCTTGAGTTATGCTCTTATAGCCCTGCATCCCGAAACCCTAAACCCTAATCCCTAAACCCTAAACCCTTGGATAGACGACCCCAAAGAGTTCGAAGTATATATACATCGGCCCCAAGTGTTTCAGGTGTAGCGTCTTGGCACCCAGCACTTCTGTTGTTTCGAGGGTTTAAGCTCCATGGGTCAGGGTTTCGGGCAACCCTAAACCCCAAACCGCAAAACCCAAAACTTTTAAGCCCTAAACACGAAAGCCCCAAAGTCCCAAAAGCCCAGAGCCCAAAACCTGAAAGACTTCTTGGAGTCCAATTTTTCTGGCCGGTTCTGAGTCGGGAATGAGGGAATGAGGTACCCGAAATAATCCACATATTACATAGGGTCCTAATTCCCTCACCCCCTACTGAGAACCAGGGGTTTTGCCTTCTTCCCGCCCGAGACGGCGAGGCGTAGCGGCCGCTGCTTCTCCATCTCCGGAGACGCTCCCGCCGCCGCCTTGTTCAGTAGGGCCTCGCACAAGAGGGGGCTCAAGGTTTCGGGTTTGGGGTTGGGGTTTAGCGCTCTTGTCGCCCATAGAAACCCCACATAGCCCCTCGGAGCTTCATGTTCCTGGGGCATCCCCAAATCCACCCCAGCAGCAGGGCACCCAAAGGCTTGAGGATTTCGAATCTCTGGCAATTTCAACCCTGAAGTCTGTCGTAATCTGTGAGTCTTCTAGCCGCTTCGAGCCCTAAACCCGAAGCTCTAAACCCTATTGTTAAACCGGCCCAATAAACCTATCATGACATCTTCTCACCTTCCGTTGCCTAACGCATAGGCGCACCCCAAGCTTGAAGCCCTAAACCCGAAAGCCTAAAACCCCAAACCCCCAAGCCCACAACACCCAAACCCTAAACCCTAAACCCTAGACCCTAAACCCTAAACCCTAAACCCTAAACCCTAAACCCTAAACCCTAAACCCTAAACCCTAAACCCTAAACCCAAAACCCTAAACCCAAACCCCTAAACCCTAAACCCTAAACCCTAAACCCTAAACCCTAAACCCTAAACCCTAAACCCTAAACCCTAAACCCTAAACCCTAAACCCTAAACCCTAAACCCTAAACCCTAGAACTGACAGGCAGTGACGATCTACCGGGAGGGCTTCCACTTCCGCATGGACAAGAAGACCATGGAGGCGCCAGGTTGAGGAGTTGAGGGGGTCGTTTAGGGCCTTTAGGGGTTGAGGGTTTTAGGGGGTTGAGGGTCTTAGGGTTTAGGGTTTAGGGTTTAGGGTTTAGGGCTTTCGGGCTTTAGGGGTTGAGGGTTTTAGGGTTTAGGGTTTACAGAGATGAGAAAGCGCTTCTAGTGCTTTAGGTTCTTGTAGGGTTTGAGGGTTTAGGGGGGTTGAGGATTAGGGCTGATGTTTGAGGGGTTTGAGGTTTTTAGGGTTGACGGGTTTCCAGGAGCGTGAGGATTAAAGGGCTTAGGGGTTTTAGGGGGGTTTGAGGAGTTTAGGTGTTCAAGGGGGGTTTCAGGATAAAGGGGGTTTCAAGTGTTAGGGTTTAGGGTTTAGATTTTTCGGTTTTGGAGTTTCGACCCATCCCTTCTCCCTGGCCTCAAAGGCATGGAGCAAGGCCCCTTTCGCCCTGAAGCCCCAACAAACCACACAAGAACCCCCAAACACCAAAAGCACAGAACACCAAAAGAGTCCGCAAAACGCCAACAAACCCCAAACCCCACACCCCAAACCCCAAACCCCACACCCCAAACCCCAAACCCCAAACCCCAAACCCTTAGACCCTAAACCCCAAACCCCAAACCCCAAACCCTTAGACCCTAGACCCTAACCCCTAAACCCTAGACCCTAGACCCTAGACCCTAAACCCGAAACCCTGAACCCAAACTCCCAACACCCCCCCCCCCCCCCCCCAACTCGCCAGCACCTGGAGCTACCCGAGTGGTTGAGGATTCCACCATCCCGGAAGGCCGGTGAACCCCGGAGCCCTGAAACCCCGAAGCCCCTGAACCCTGAACCCTAATCCTTGAACCCTCAACCACCCTAAACCCTAAACCTTCAAACCTAACCCTAAACCACCCTAAACCCTAAACCCTACACCCGAAATCCCTTCACCCCTAAATCCTTTAAACCCCAGAACCCAAGGCTGAAGGGGGGGGGAGTCTGAATTCCAAATGGGCAGTTCTCGCAATTGTGGGTTTTTTTGGGTTTGGGGCTTAGCGTTTCGGGTTTTGGGGTTTCGGGGTGAGGGGTTTCTGGGTTTAGGGTTTCGGATTTTGGGTTTGGGGTTTAGGCTTCTTCTAGGGCTTCAGGTGACCTTGTGGCCGCGCAGCAGCTTGGAATTCGGACCATCGGCCCAAACCTAGAGTAGTTTGTATGGATCTTGGGGTTTGGGCTGTATGGGTTTAGACTTTAGGGCTAAGACCCTAAACCCTAAACCCTAAACCCCAAACCCCAAACCCCAAACCCCAAACCCTAAACCCTCAACCCTAAACCCCAACCCTAAACCCTAAACTCCAACCCAAAGTCCTGAACCCTAAGCCGAATGGAGCGCATTGCTTTGAAGCGAACCAAACCCCTTGGCGAACATGTCTGTACTATAGGGGTCGGAATGCTTACCAACAGTATTTCCTTAGGGTCCCTATATGTTTGTAATATAATAACTCCCGCCCCAAGCCCCTAAACCCTAAACCCGAGACCCTAAACCCTAAACCCTAAAGTCCCCAAGTGTCGCGCCGAAGGCTTCGCTTTACCGGGTTGCCGCCGCTTTTGGGCTCACCCCCAGGTGTTTCGCGCGTAGATCCCAGGTGTCTTGAAGCCGAGATCAGCCCGGAGAACACACTTCAGAGACTCCCTTGCTCCCTTAGGGGTTTCGGAGTTGGGGGGTTCAGAGGGTTCGGGGGTTCAGGGTTTCAGTCTAGGGGTTTAGAGGCGCCCCCTTGAACCCTGAAGCCCAAAGCCCCAAGAGCCCGCGAGAGCCTAAGCCGGTGGTCCCCTGCTCCTTGCGCTCGGTTTCCCCTGCGCCCTGCTGGCACACGCCATGTCTGCCGAGACAGAGGAGGCCTGGATTCGAAGGTGAAATGGAGGGTGTAGCTCGCGTGTGTAAACCCTAAACCCTAAACCCTAAACCCTAAACCCTAAACCCTAAACCCTAAACCCTAAACCTTGAACAATGAACCCTGAACCCTAGATTCTCCAGCGCTCTTTCGACATCTGCTGGCTTGACGGCTTGGATCCAGAGCCCTCGCCTGGGCTCTGGAAAGCGTCGCTCTCAAAGTACGTAAACCCTAAACCGTCGACCCTAAGCCCTAAACTCCAAACCCTGATCCCTAACCCTAAGCCCTAAACCCTAAACCCTAAACCCTAAACCCTAAACCCTAAACCCCAAACCCTCCTCTGTGCACACCCCGGAAGTCCTCGTAGCAATGCCTTCTGGGAGGTGGCCAAAGTCGAGGAGGAGGAGACGGGCAGAAACTGTCTGAGCGCCATAAGACACTGTACTTCTCAGGATTGGAACCCTAAACCCTAAACCCTAAACCCTAAACCCTAAACCCAAAACCCTGAACCCTGAACCCTGAACCCTGAACCCTAAACCCGAAACCCTAAAGCCCCAAACCCTAAACCCTATCAGGACTTGGGAGGATGCTTTCCAGTCTTGGTAGCCCGATACTGCTCCTGAAGGTTGTACTTGGGTTGGGAGTTACAACTATTGGAATCTGGGCTTGGCTTTGTCGACGGACACTTGTCGTTGGCGGCGTGTTCTGTCTACAGTCGCCCATCCCTATATCTAAAGGGGTTTAGGAACCCTAAACCCTAAACCCCTAAACCCCTAGACCCGAAACCCTAAACCCTGAAAACTAAACTCTGTCTTCGAAAATCTCTGAGGTGTTCCTGGGCAGGCACGCAGTACCGGGAGCCTAAAATCTCGGCAGACACTACACACTCTTTACGCTTTTTGTTTGCACGTGTTTGCGTGCCAGGGTTTACATGCAGTTAATATGGTCCCTATCATTGTCTTAGGGGAGTGTAAGTTGGTTTGGCTGGGCAGCCTGTTAAAAAGCCAATCAGATGTTGCGATGGCCCCCCGTTGCTCAAACAGCCTTCAGCCTGGATGTTGATGGCACGTCCCAAGCACGAAGCGCTTGCTGGTACACAGAGGGAGAGCGGGGACTCGAACCTTAAACCCTAAACCCTCAACCTAAACCCCTAAACCCTAAACCCTAAACCGGAAACTCCACTAAACAACCTGAGGCTTGAACCTTTGCAGGGCGCAGCTCGGGAATGTCTGTGGTTGAAACGTGCCAAAACACGTGCCTTGCAAGACAGGAGCCACTCCTGGATAGAGCCCCTGGGTCTGCACAGTCTTTGAAGGCTTTCGACCTAGATCTTGCGTCCGTAGGCAGCGATGCTTGCTTGACTCTAGCACGGGGCAGCTGCGTCTCCGGGAGAAAACGCAGGCAAAGCAGCCGGTTTTTCCCAAACGAGGTTTTTCCCTGCGGCTTGAGGGTGTTCGCTTTGCTTGCTTCGGCCACGACCACAGAATGCAAGCAGCCGGTTTGCGCACCTCCCTCCCCCAAAATGGCGCCTTTTTCAAGCCCCTAAACCCTGAACCCTAAACCCGAACCGTAAACCCGAAACCCTAAACCCTGAACCCTGAACCCTGAACCCTAAACCCTAAACCCTAAACCCTAAACCCTAAACCCTAAACCCTAAACCCTAAACCCTAAACCCTAAACCCTAAACCCTAAATGCAAAAGTTGCCCGGAAAAGCCACAGAAAGGCATCGGAGGTCGAAGCTGAGGCTGATGTCGACTGGCCTGAAGACTTCGACACGTCACAGCGCCAGCGGGAGGTGTGGGAGCGTCAGGGTCCAAAGCGAGGATATCAGTTGTGCTTCAGGGGTTTAGGGTTTAGGGGTTTAGGGTTTAGGGTTTAGGGGTTTAGGGTTTAGGAGTTTAGGGTTTAGGGGTTTAGGGTTTAGGGTTTAGTGGTTTAGGAGCCTGATTCAGGGATGCTTACAGGGTTTCGGGCTTAGGGTCCATGAGGAAGGCGGCCTTGAACTCGGCAACAATTGTCAGGGGGGTTCCCAGAGTAGGATTCTGCCGATTCCTCGATGCCCCCAACTCTTGCCCTACTTCTGAGGAGCGGAGCCAAACCGCCCCCTTTCAGATCCAAACCTTGACCCTCCTCTACAGCAAGCCCGAGCCTCCAAGCGGGAGATGGACTGTTTGTCAGGGACAGGCCCTTCTTGCCACGTCACATCCCAGCAGCTCGATCCACGCTGCACCTAGAAAGCTTGTTGAAGTCCGAAGCTGGTGGCCGAGAGCAATCCGGCTCACTGTCTGTTCGCTCACCTGTTCGCTCACGCGGCCACCAGAAATTGACGACAACTCATTTTCAAGCCACTCCCCCCTCCCCCCTCCTCCAAGTCTGAGATGCGTGCAGTGCCATGTTGATGGTGTCTGATGGCTTCAGCTGAAGTGCACTGTGCAGGCCATGCAGATGCTCAACAGCCTTTGCGAGGCAAGTTGGGCCTCAGTGGAAGTTGGGTCCTCCGGTTGACAGGTTGTGAAAGCCCATGGTTTTTTGCTTCGAGATGTCTTGAGCACTGGAGCCTCAATTCTTGTAGGCCAGTCTTGCAAAGGAGCATCTTATTAATCAAAGTTGCCCCTCAATTCTTGTAGGCCAGTCTTGCAAAGGAGCATCTTATTAATCAAAGTTGTTCACGCCTGCATCGTCACCTGTGTGGCAACAGGCAAACACGAACTCCCAAAGTCGTGGGCTCCCAACCCCCGAGCCCACAGAACGCCCCAAACCTGCCCTAAGAAGAAGCCATCCTTGACCCTTTAAGCCCTCTGGCAAGAACCCCACCGGAACAACTCTCCAGGGCGATCAAACCCGGCTAAACCCTAAACCCTAAACCCTAAACCCTAAACCCTAAACGGCCCGCCAGGCCCTGGTCTCCCGGGGCGCCTGCGTCGTCCGCCGCGCGGCGGCGCCGCGGAGGGCCGAGGAGGCCATGGAGAACGCGGCGAAGCTCGAGGACTTTTTTTTTTTTTGGGGGGGGGGGGGCTCTTTAGGGGGGGCTGTTTAGGGTTTAGGGTTTAGGGTTCAGGGTTTAGGTTAGGGTTTAGGGTTTACAGGGGTCTTGGTGGGGGTCTTAGGGGCTTTGAGGGTTGGGGGTTTGGGGTTTCGGGCGAACGGAAAGGTGTTGGGAGGCTTTTCTTCATGGCTTCTTGCACGAGTGTTGGCACGGAAGATCGCAGAAGCTTCGTGCAAGTTCGGAAAGGCGCAGTAGAGGACACTTGGACTGGGGAGGAAGACCCGAGGTATTTAGGGTTCGACGCCTGCTTGCATGATGAACCTTGAACCCTAAACCCTAAACGCGGAACCCTAAACCCTAGCCCTAAACCCTAAACCTTAGACCCTAAGCCCTAAACCCTAAACCCTAAACCCCTAAACCCTAAAGCCCAAAACCCCCAACCCGGGTTCCCGGCAGGATGTTGGCTGGCTCCGGAAGGAGACGGAGGAGGCGCCTGAAACGTTCTGAGGGCTGAGGTGTAGGAGGGTTTTATGGTTTAGGGTTTCTAGGGTTTAGGGTTTCAGGTTTAGGGTGTAGGGTTTTAGGGTTTACGGTTTAGGGCTTAGGCTTAGGCTTAGGGCTTAGGGTTTAGGGTTTAGGGTTTAGGGTTTAGGGTTTAGGTTTTAGGGTTGGTTTGGGGTTGTTGCAGTTCAAGCACCAAAGAGCTCCCCCCTGTCGGAGAGGCCTACCTCGGCCGTGACAACATGACGCGCATCAAGGTCTGGGAGCCCTGAAGCCCTGAAGCCCTGTAGCCCTAAACCCTAAACCCTAAACCCTAAACCCTAAACCCTAAACCCTAAACCCTAAACCCTAAACCCTAAACCCTAAACCCTAAACCCTAAACCCTAAACCCTAAACCCTAAACCCTAAACCCTAAACCCGAAACCGTAAACCCTAAACCCTAAACCCTAAACCCTAAACCCTAAACCCTAAACCCTAAACCCTAAACCCTAAACCCTAAACCCTAAACCCTAAACCCTAAACCCTAAACCCTAAACCCTAAACCCTAAACCGAACCCTAAACCCTAAACCCTAAACCCTAAACCCTAAACCCTAAACTCTAAACCCTAAACTCTAAACCCTGAACCCTGAACCCTAAACCCTAAACTGAAGGCCGGCCCCACTCCAAGCAAAGGGGCCGGCCGCAGCGGGCGGACCGGAAGGCGCCCGCGGACCGAGGCAGCCCACCGGAAGGGGCTGCCGTAGGTCCTGGACCGGAAGGTCCACGCGGCTTTGCAAAGGCCGCCACTCGCAGCTGTATAATGATAGCCCTAAACCCAGGTGCAAAGGACCGGGGAGGCATAGAATCCCTTCGTGGAGCCTTGCAGGGGCCTCTCCGGCTGGGGCCTTTCCCGGGCCTCTCTGGAGTTCTTCGGGGCTCTCCAGTGCCTTTTGCGACCTTTCCGGCGCCTCTTCTTTGTTGGGGCCTCTTCAGGGCCGATGCGTTTTCTCTCGGGCCTGAAAAGGCATCTTTTCGGGCCTCTCCGCGGCTCTCCGGGCTCTTCGGGGCCTCTCCAGCTCCTGGCGACCAGAGGAAATGTACCTTATGTTCGCCCTTAATTGAAGGATAGCAGAGGAGGGCCGTGTGCCCTGTGTTCGCCCTTCATTGAGGGTAGGCAGAGGCAGGCCTCTCCGGCTCGGGGCCTTTCCCCAGCCTCTTTGGAGCCTTTCTTTTCAGACCTTTCCGCCTCTTCTTTCTTGGGGCCTCTTCGGGAACTATCCCGGTCCTCTTCAGGGCCGATACGTTTTCAGAGGCCTCGTTCTGCTCCTCCGGCGCCCGGTCCTCTTCAGGGCCGATTTCAGGGCCTTTTCGAGGCCTTGTTCTGCTCTTGGGGTCCGGCCTCCGGCGCCTCCTTGGGGCCTCTTCTCGGCCTCCTGTGCACGTACAGCATGTTCGTCCTTCATGTACCTAATGTTCGCCCTTAGTTGAAGGATAGCAGAGGAGGGCCGTGTGCCCTGTGTTCCCCCTTCAATATTGAAGGGTGGCAGAGGAAGGCTTCTCCGGCCTTTCCCCGCCCTCTCTGGAGCGGGGCTTCTCCAGCTCCTGTACCTTGAAGGCTACCAGAGGAAGGCCACGTACAGCATCCTTATGTTCGCCCTTAATTGAAGGATAGCAGAGGAGGGCCGTGTGCCCTGTGTTCGCCCTTCATTGAAGGAAGACCATGTACCTTCTGTTCGCCCTTAATTGATGGATAGCACAGGCGAGTTATGTGCCTTGAAGGATGCCAGAGGAAGGCCATGTACCTTATGTTCACCCCTTGCAGGACTACACAGGCGGGTGTACTAGTATACTTCATGTTTGCCCTTGGTTGAAGGATTGCAGAGAAGGTCCATGTATCTTGTCTTCGTCTGAAATTGAAGGACTGCGTTGGAGGGCCATGTACCTCATGTTTACCTTCAGGCGAGCGGCTGCACAAAGAACAGGTGCAGCCCGCCTTCTGCGTGACTTGTACAGAACTCAGCAAGTCTTCCGATCGGCTGAAGCTGTGCTTTCTTCTATGCAAGAGTTGAATCATTCAGACAGCTGGAGCAAAAGGCGTAGGCTGTAGGACGGTTCGCAGGCAGCTGTTTATAGAGGGATTGCATGTGCTGCGTGCTCACCTTATTATGTCCAGCTGCGGCAACTGTACACAGACGTAGCTGACGTTTTGCACCGGCAGTAGGTTTACCCTTGCTTGCTTGCCGCTCTTGCTTGGCTCCAGCTCTTCAGTAGATCGACCTGTTTGTTTGATAGCTAGGAGTTCGGCCTGAGCAGCCATGCCTCGTATGTGTCCTGGCAGCGCGGACTCCCCTTGCTGCTTCTCAGCACATGAGCCAGGCCGCGCCGCTCAGAGGCAGACCTATGCTACGTGCGCCGCTGGGCTCCTGCAGCAGACGTTTGCTCGGAGACTTGCTCTGATAGAGGTGCAAGAACTGATAGCAGAGCGGATGTATGTGGCCGCGTCTCACGAGCATTGGACTAAGGTTATCTGCGACCCAGCACGCCTGGCAGATGCTTGTCTTCAGCCACAGTCGCGCGGCTACGTCAAGCGCTTGCTGTTGGCCCTTGCGCCCGAGTACCAGCGCCTGGCCTTGGAACGTGTTCCCGAGGAATTCCGCAGGTACTTCGAGACGGAGCTTGCCAAGCCATGGATCTGCGTTGGCATGGACAGCGAGCGCTGCACGTTTGCATTGAGCGCACGTGGAGGCCCCGCGCAGGTCAAGGGCCGCGCGGCTCGCTGCGTGTTCTGCCGGCCTGAAGACCTGTGGCCAATGTGTGAGGATGAAGCCGGCAAGCGGGAGGCCGGGATGTCTGCTTTTTAGACTTTTAGATTACACGCGTAGAATTAATTGAGAATGCTTCTTGGCTTTTGCTGTACCAGGTCTTGGGCAAGCTTCGGCGCATGTCAGCGGCCGGCCGCAGCCGTGCACTGGAAGAGCGCCTGCCCCTGGAAGCGCAAGCTTACTTCCAAGAGCATCTGCAGGGCCCTGCACCGAAGCGCGCAGCTGGGCGGGGCCGACGCCCACTAACCGCGCAAGAGTTGCCAGCATTGTGGAAAGGTGCTCTGGCAGCTCGCCAGGCGGCCTCGGCACCTGCTTCGGCTGCAGCCAAGAAGAAGTATCGGGAGCAAGTGCTGGCGGACCGGGCCCGTGCGCGGCGCCGCATGGGCCAGCCCCTCAAGCGGACTCCGGCGGGCGAGGCTGTGGAGAACACCTCGGGACTGCCACCGGCGAAGCGCCGCTGTTTGGCCGAGGATTTCGAGCGCTGGTGCGTCTATGACTCCTGGAGCATGTGCGACACTTGCGGCTTCCTGACACCGCGCGACCTGACACAGAGCACGCTGACCAAGCCGCAGAAGCCGACACATGCCTCCGGCAAGTGTCCCAGGTGCAGCGCCGCACGCGTGCAGCCGAGCGTGACCGTGGCAGATGTGCCTGAGGTGTTGAGGGAGCTCTCTGCCGAAGCCGCTCGTGCGCTGTCGCCTTTGGAGATCGACGTCGGCCCCATCGTCCGTGCCGAGCACAAGTCTGGTTACCGGCAGAAGGTCACCATGATCCGCTTCCGCTGGGAGACGGCTGGCATCAAGAGGCGCATCAAGCTCTTACAGGCCGCTCGGTCATAGCTTCGCTTGATATTGTTCCAAAGCCTATATGTACACTCATTCCTTACTTATCGCTGCCAGGATCCGGACATGCGGAGAAAGGCCCGCGCCGCCTACGACTTCCTGATGGCCTCGGACGACACGCCCTACTCCGACTTCGTGGCTGAGCACGACAAGTTTCTGCAAGAGCATCCTGGAGCAGATGACCTCGCTCGCCGTCGTCGCCTGCAGTTCATCGAACGCATTGGGGTCGAATGCGCTTTGTGGCCATGCTTGTTCTGGGACATCAAGATGACCTTCACCCACGAGCGTGCCACAGACCCGCGGAGGGTGATTCGTCAGGAACACGCGGCCACCTTGGAGGACGTGCTGAACGCTGGTCAAAGCGACGAGGACACGGAGGACGGCCAGGACAATGAGATGTTCAGCGAGGGGGAGGAGCCCAAAGACGACGGTGCCACGCGGCACAGCATCAAGAGGCTCTTCGCTGCTCTGGCGCTGGGCAAGCTCTTGGGCGCCCATGCGCTTGATGCTCAAGGGCGAGGCCTTCAGCCCTCACTACTGGCGCGGCGTACATTATGCCTTGCTGGATATGGTGCGGCAGGTCGGCTATCCGAGGATCTTCTTCACCATTGCCCCCTACGAGTGGAGCTTCCCCTACCACGAGTGGGTGCGCGACGAAATGCAGAAGATGCTCAAGGAGCGGCTCTTCCTGCCAGCAGCGGAGACACTGCACATGGTTCACGTCATGGTCTAAGCCGTGAAGGGCTTGCTCCTTGGCCGCACTGGAGGACAGGGTCGGCAGCAAGCGTGGAAGAGCAACATTTTCCACGTTCTGGATGAGCAAGGGCAGGCTCGCCGCCTGCACTTCTTCTTGCGCCTCGAGTATCAGGATGGGACCCGTAAGGCGGCCACTCAGGACTACCACGGTTCAGGCCGGGTTCATGTCCACGTCGTCATCTTCGTGCGGCCAGAGGACGTCGAGCAGCTGCGGCTGGACGAGGTCGCGTCTGCCACGCTGCCAAATGACCCAGACCTCCGTGGTTACGTGGAAGGCAGCCAATACGATCGAGAGAAGAAGAGCGGTTGGCCGGTCCACGAGGAGGCGACTTGCTATGACCGCGAAGCAGGCGCATGGCGCTTGCAGCACACGGAGGAGGACCACGGCGAGGGCCTCCGCCCGTATCTCGTTGATCTCATGGAGGTGCTCCGCTGCCACCAGGACTTCCAGATGTGCGATGACGATGGCCTGCTGCGCGCCTATGTCACCAAGTACGTCAGCAAGTTCTCGGATGCGGCCAGCGAAGAGTGGCTCAACGACGATGCCGAGGCCATGGGCATCGCCGCCACCGTTCTGACGCGCTACAGGCCGCTCGAGCCCGAGATGGTGTTGCAGCTCTTCGGCGCCAAGTTCCGGCAGTGGCACCTCTCCACCGTCAGCGGCGGCAAGCGCGATTTGGTCGCACCTTACCCGGACCAGGATCCCAAGACACGGGAGGTGGAGCTGTACGAGAAGACGGAGTGGGCTTGCGGCCGCATCAGCCTCCTTGACTACCTCCGCAAGACGACCGCCGAGGGGAAGATCTGCCACTGGCTGAAGAAGAAGCACCAGCAGTCCGAAAGCGAGGCCACCCTCGAGGAGTTCGCGGCCAATTACGTGATGCAGGGCGAGAAGGTGGTGGCTGCGGAGACGGTCTCCAAGTTGAGCGACCGCTATTTCGGCCAGTGGCTCATGCTGAACGTGCCGTTCGAGAATGCTGCAGATTTCTGCTTGCCCGACCACGTGGCCAGGCGGCTGCCGGAGGCCCACAAGTACTTCGCCATGGCGGTCCTCTGCGAGCACCCCGTAGCGCAGGCGATGTGGCACGATGATGAGAAGATCCGCGCAGAGCTGAAGATGGAGGCCCACACTAAGGATCACGTGGACACCATCCTGGCCATGATCCGGGCGCACCGCGGCTTGCTTCAGGACTACCTCGATGGCTCCCTGGATGCCGGGCCGAGCGGCAGGCCCAGGACAATCGCCGCGCCAAGAAGAAGGCCAAGTGCAGCAAGCCCGGGGTTCTGCCAGACCCTAGCAAGTTCAATCGGCAGCAGCGCCGCGCCTTGCCTGGATATATTTGCGTGTTAACTGTGTTGTACTTACTCGTCCCACGCAGCGCATGTCGTGTCGAGAGCATGTTAGCGGCTGTTAGCGCCCGCAACTCTGTTTGTGTGACAGGTTTCAAAGACCTCGTGGACAACGCGGTGGACCGTGCGCTGGCTATCGAGGAGGCGGACGAAGGCGAGGCGGACCGTCTGCGACAGGAGGCGCAGGGCAGCAGGGCCAACATCTGCCTCGGGCCACCGGGGACCGGCAAGACCACGGTAATCTTCTCGTGCATCGACCGCGCCTTGGCCAAGGGTGGCAAGGTTCTGATGGCCTTGCCGACGGCGCAGTTGGCCAGCCGCATGAAGGCACGCTATGGGGACAGAGTGGACATCGACACCTGCCACGCGGCCTTTGGTCTGCACGAGGCTGCAGAGCACGGTGAGGCGTCTTTGTTAAGCATGTACTCCTTGATCGTCGTGGACGAGCTCTCGCAGCTCGATATGGTCAACTTCGACAAGATCCTGCGGCTCTGGGCGGCTGCCGAGCGCGTGCCGGCCCTAGCCCTGCTAGGCGACCGGTACCAGATGGCGGGCATGGGCGAACAGCGACCGTGGCACTCGCGCCTCTGGACGACCATGTGCTACCGGGTGGCCCTTCACAAGATGTACCGCTGCAAGGACAAAGTGCATGCGAAGTTGCTAGCAGTGCTGCGGACCAACAAGCCCAACAACAAGCTCCTCAGGCAATTGCGTAACAAGCTGGCATGGCGACCTCCGGGCAAGCCCACAGTCAAGGCACTTAGGAAGCTCTTGAAATGTAGGCCTGATACCACCATCCTCACATGCACTAGGCGAGGGGCTGCTGTAGTGAATAAGGTTGCCCTGCAAGCCTTCTTCCCTCACTATCCACCCGTAGCAACCTTGCCTGCCGACGTGGACTCCAACCCCGAGAATTATGCACAGGGCAAGTTGAGGCCGGTTGCAGAGTTGGAGCCATCGGCGATGCCCGTGTACAAGGGCATGCGAGTTTACCTGACGCGCAACGTGCGGAAGGATGTCGACTTTGTCAACGGCATGGAGGCAACGGTCCTCAAGTATGACAACCTCACTGGCGGGCTGCTGGTGCGCACTGCGCACCGTCACCGGCTATGTGGTCAGCGTGTGGCCTTGGACCGATCCGGACCGGGGCGGCCTCGCCTACTACCCTGTCAGGCCCGGCTACGCCTCCACCATCCTGAAGTTTCAGGGCGCAGAGCTTCCCCACGTGGTCGTCTACTTGGACGCTCCCAAGGTTCCGGCAGCTGCTTACACCGCCATCAGCAGGGTCGGCTACTACAAAGACTTCTTGTTGGCGGGCATCTTGACAGCCGACCATTTCACGCCGGCCAGATGAGGGGCTGCTTGCGCAGAAGAGGGGCGTTTCACCTCTCGGGCGACACGTACAGGTTACCCGCAACACTCAACAATCTGCGAGTGCCGCAGGGCATGCAGTCCTTTGACGAGCACGGCAATGTTTGTAGGCAGCGCGCCCAGCTCAAGCTTGGTTTCTGGAAGCTGTATAGGTAATCTCACGGCCAGCCGTATATAATAGTGGAAGCGTGAGTTATATGCATCAGCCATACAACGCCAATGTGGTTTATGCATAGGCTATAGCTAGGTGTAAATACGCAGCAGGATTGGTGCAGGATGGCAAGTGGAACCATTCGATCTCGCGGCAGCCTCGCCCTCTCTAATTGGGGGCTGGTGGTGGGTGCACGCTTTCACCGCGAGAGGACGAGGCGGCCGACTTTGGCCTATGCGTGATTTGCTTTGGCATCCTGCACCTAGGGCGCGTTTCACCCAGTCCATTGTGCAAGAGCTGTTGGTGCCGCGCAACAGATATCGCGCAGGCCCGCGCAGAGCACAGTAGCAGCGTAGAGTAACATCAGCCTGCCACAGGACAGAACTATTGGAAGCGCTGAAACACTGTGCCCGAAGGTTGCCATTCATGCGGGTTGCGTCGTGCATGCTTCCTGTAGCATCGCATTCTTACCACATTGCCAAGATCCATGAACTTTGTCGCACGCCGCTTGCCTGTAGATGTGCTGTAGATGAAGGAGTAGAGAAGGGTCCATGTAAGAAGGGCGGAGGACCCATTCCAGCATTCAAGATACTGCACCTGGAAAACCTTTCAGCATGTCCTCCAGACGAGCAGCGTTTCCTTTCGCAGCAATCTTGGCTCTTTAGCGAAGGTATCAATCAATGCATGTGCATCACAAGTATATTTATGATGGCAAAAAAGCCAGCTCTCAAGACCATATCTCCCCCCTTGATAGGGGGGCTGGGGGGTAGACAACCCTAAACCCGTCCAAGGTTTGTGATTTGGGTGGGAGGAGTGGGCATTTCAACGACTGCGCCGACCCCCCTACCACTTTATGGGGGGGGTCGAGCGCACCCGCAGCGAAAAACCCTAAACCCCAAACCCTAAACCCTACACCTTAAACCCTAAACCCTACCTTAAACCCTAAACCCTAAGCCCCAAACCCTCAACCCCTAGACATCCCGGGGCTTCGAAGGCCCTGGAAAGTGCGCTGAGAGGGTTTGGGACTTTTCATTTGGGGTTTGGGATTTGGGATTTGGGGGTTGCCGAGAATATAGTAGAATCCCCGTTGAAAAGGACCCTATTATTGGAAACCCCCATTGGGGGTGTGGGGTTTAGGGTTTAGGGCCGGGGGTTTAGGGTGGGGGTGTGGGGTTTAGGGTTTAGGGCCGGGGGTTTAGGGTTTCGGATTCAAGGTTGGGCGTTGAGGGGTTGGGGCTGGCTCCCCCCTCCGCCCACTCTGGCCCCCCAAGAGGACACCCCTCTCTCAAGCGCCCAAACAGGAGCTTCGCGCCCCAGATGCTCCGGCACTTCCAGACGAGCCGGCAGAGGTGGAGAATTCTGCATGTTTGATGTTGTGATATGTTGTGGTCATGGGTATATGTATCGTACTTTGAAAAGGAATATGAGACTAGTACATATAGCCAATTTGCAGATATGACCTTATAGAAGAGGGGACGTTTTCTTGAGGCTTTGCCCTTAGTACAGGAGCCAAACATGATCTCCAGTACCCATCCCCGTTTAGTCTTTACCGGAACACAATTTTCTTCGATGTCTGCTCACGTGGTCAATCCGTGGGCCTGGGACATGTAGCAGCCCCCTCTCTTGAAGCCCCAAGGCCTTCCCCAAAAAACGACACCATGGCACTTGCAGTCATAGGCAGGGTGATAAGTGCTATAGCACGCCCCCCCCCCCCCCCCCCCCCCCAAAATGAGGGTTGAGGGTTTGCGGTTTAGGGTTTCGGGTTTAAGGTTTAGGGTTTAGGGTTATCTGTATACCCATGAACCTCCAGGTATGTTGGGGCTGCGGATGCGGTGGTGAAGGGCGGTGCTGGTGTGGACAGCCACCAGAATTGTTCACAAAACTGGCTGAAGCCAAGGTGTAACCCTAAACCCTAATCCCTAAACCCCAGACCCTAAACCCTAAACCCTAAACCCTAAACCCCAAACCCTAAACCTTAAACCCCAAACCCCGAACCCCTAAGGCCTAAACCCGAAGTTCTTGCGGTGGGTTTAGGGTTTCGGGTTTCGCTGCACCCGAATCCCGGAGCAGGCCTTGGTAGATGAGGCGAAGGTGGAGATTGAAGACACCAAGTCCGAGTCGACGCTTGGGTTTGGGGGGTTGAGAGGTGTGCGGGTTTAGGGTTTAGGGTTTCGGGTTTAGGGTTTAGAGTTTGAGAGGTTGCGGGTTTCGGGTTTCGGGTTTAGAGTTTGAGAGGTTGCGGGTTTCGGGTTTAGGGTTTAGGGTTTGAGAGGTTTAGGGGTTGAGAGGTTTACTTGTTTAGGGTTTAGGGTTTGAGTGGTTGAGAGGTTTACGGGTTTGGTCTTGCCAGGGATTTTTCAAGTTTGGAGTGCTGAGCAAGTTTGTCCAATGCTTCGCTTGCGAGCCCAGTGGCACCCTTCCCACTTTTTTTTCGTTCAAGGTTCCCTTATGAAGCCAACCCCCAAAAGGGTACCTTTGTTAAGATCTGCTTACTGGGCTACCCTAAACCCTGAACCTCTCAACCCCTAAACCCTAAACCCCAAACCCCAAACCCTAAGCCCTAAGCCCTAAGCCCTAAGCCCGAAGCCCTAAGCCCTAAACCCTAAACCTTAAGCCCTAAACCCTAAACCCTAAACCCTAAGCCCTAAGCCCTAAACCCTAAACCCTAAACCCTAAGCCCTAAACCCGAAACCCTAAACCCTAAGTATGCGGCTTTGCTCCGAGGAGCTGGTACGACCCCGACCTCTACGGCTCAGAGTCGGAGCCAGAAAAGGAGGAGGAGCCTTTTGGGGCTGTTAAAAGGGTTAGGGTTTAGGGTTTAGGGTTTAGGGTTTAGGGTTTAGGGTTTAGGGTTTAGGGTTTAGGGTTTAGGGTTTAGGGCTTAGGGCTTAGGGTTTAGGGTTTAGGGTTTAGGGTTTAGGGTGTAGGGTTTAGGGTGTAGGGTTTAGGGTGTAGGGTTTAGGGTTTAGGGTTCAAGGTCCTTGCCGTACTTAGAAGTGGGGGTAACCCTACAAGCTTGTGGAGCTTAACTTGCCACCCAAACCCCTAAGGCCCTAGCTCATGAATAGTTAAAGTAGGGTTACCACAGCCCTAACCTAGTTAAAGTAGGGTTACCACAACCCTAACCTAGTTAAAGTAGGGTTACCACAACCCTAACCTAGTTAAAGCAGGGTTACCACAACCCTAACCTAGTTAAAGTAGGGTTACCACAACCCTAACCTAGTTCAAGTAGGGTTACCACAGCCCTTACCGATCTCCAGGAGCAGAAGCCGGTCGTCCGCAAGAAAGACTTGCCTCCCGACTTCACGGCCCTCAAGGCGCAGCGCAAACATAGGGTTTAGGGTTTAGGGTTTGGGGTTTGGGGTTTGGGGTTTAGGGTTTAGGGTTTAGGGTTTAGGTGTTTAGGGTTTGGGGTTTGGGGTTTGGGGTTTAGGGTCTACGCCATCTGAAAAGAGACGTCAGCACGTATATGTCTACCTTCGTGGTTAGGGGGTTGTAGGCTCGAGGTTGACGGATCCCGGCCCCCTCCTGAGGATCTGGATACGGATGTATCATCGCCTAGAATATGGGTGTGTCATCGCCGAAACCCCAAAACCTAAACCCTAAACTCCCTACACCGCAAAACCGTAAGCCCTAATCCAGACCCCAAACCCTAAAGCCTAAACTCCCTAAATTTGCATCTTGAGGTGTTTCTTTATTATTGCCGCGATGGAACACCCTGGATGCCTCTTTTCATAAGAGTCTCGATCCCGACTCCCTGTGAAGGCTGGCGACCTCTCGGGATTCCAAAGAACTTGAGCATGACGGGCAACAATGTAATATAAGGCAACATAAGAACAATACAGTGTAAGATAATACATCATATTATTATCTAAGTATATAAAATATATGTGTGTATGATATTCATATTCTACTTGTTGGTGCTCGCCACAATAACAGGAATATTGAGAAGAGAGACGCCGGCTGATCAGCACATGTTTAGCGCCGGCATGGCAATGCATGTGACTTTAGTATTCTTGTCCTTGTGTTTGTGACTACTTAGTCACTATTTCAATGTTAGTGAGTTTTATTGGCTTTTACTTGTTGAAAGCGCCTAGCCCTGAGCTTGGGATGTTCCCCCCCTTATACTACCAGTCCTTCATAGTGATTATCATAGGGGGTACGAGAATTCCTATTAAGGACTGCTAGTATGAGGGGGGGCATCCCAAAGCCTTAAGCCCTAAGCTGCAGAAGGCAGTAGGGTTTAGGGTTTACGGGCTCTGCAGGCGCCCCAACTCCGCAAACTGGATACCAGGGCCCTATTTCCTTCTTTCAGGGATCGGTTCCCCTATACACCCCTTAAAAGGGCTTAGGGTTCAGGGGTTCGGGGAGCAGGATACCTCTGTTTATTCCTAGGGGTCTAGGATAACTGCAGCATCCCATGGCTCCTGGCAGCTCTACAGAGACCCCCAAGTGCTGAAAAAAAAATGCCCCCAAGACAGGCGTTTGACGAGCACGTCACGTCCGTGGTCGACCTGCTCTCCTACAGCCCGGAGGCGAACCTGGAGATGGGGTTCAGGGCTTAGGGATTCTGAGGGCACAAGGACCCCAAACCTTAGACCCTAAAGCCTAAACCCCTAAGCCCGGAGTTGCAAGCTGTGTTGAGTTCAGGGTTTAGGGTTTAGGGTTTAGGGTTTAGGGTTTAGGGTTTAGGGTTTAGGGTTTAGGGTTTAGGGTTTAGGGTTTAGGGTTTAGGGTTTAGGGTTTAGGGTTTAGGGTCCTGGATCTTCACGGGACGGAGGCTCATATCCAAAGTGCCGTTTCCGGAAGGTATTGGTCCGCGAGCAGTGAGCAGTGAGCTCCAACACCCAATCTCCCGCACTTTCACGGCCTAGACGTTGAGGGCGGTTTAGGGTTGTAAGGGCTTGGGATGTAGGGAGCAGGGAACCCTAAACCCTCAACCCATCCCAAACCCCAAACCCACCCTATGATGCCCTAAACCCTCAACCCTCAACAACGAACCCACCCCAAGCCCTAAAACCTTAACCCCCAACCCACCCTAAACCTCACAACCCTAAACCCCAAACCCTCAACCCTAAACCCTGAACCTTAAACCCTCAACCCAAAACCCAAGACCCAAAACCCAAAACTCAAAAACCCAAACCCTCAACCCTAAACCCGCCCTAAAGCCCTTCAACCCTACACTTCTTGGCGCTGTCAGGCTTTCGGCGCCAAGAGTGCGCCCCTGGGACGTACTGCCAGGGCCTGTTAAGGGTTTAGGGTTCAGGGTTTAGGGTTTAGGGTTAGGGTTCAGGGTTCAGGGTTTAGGGTTTCGGAAGAGCACGTGGGCGCTGCGAAGCATCAAGCTCGAGAGGCCCCCGCTTCGGGTTTTGGTTTGCGCTTTGAAGGGCTACACAGGGACTACGTGTCTTTCGCCCCCAAAGCCAGTATAGAGTTGCCAGGTTTTTTGGGGTGTGTAGAGGGGTTTTGGGGTTTGGGCTTTGGAAAGCTTTGCCCAGCCTCAGCATCCCCAAGCCCAAGCCTCTCGTGGAGTCTGAAGACCTATCAGCCCTATCAGCCCTCTACAAAGGCCTAAAACTGGGCCTAAACCCTCTCTCTCTCTCTCTCTTTCCCTCTCTCTCTCCCTCTCCCTCCCTCTCTCTCCCTCTCTCTCTCTCTTTTTCGCTCTCTCCCTCCCTCTCCCTCCCTCTCTCTCTCTCTCTGTCGCTGTCTCTGTCTCTGTCTCTGTCGATTCCCTGGTCAGCGAAGGCACAGCAAGACGGGGACCATCCTCAGGACTGGCGCAAGCCAGGGGTTTCAAGGGAGAGTTGGTCTCGTGATGATTATGAGCTTGTGTGTTCTGAATCACTACTACTGTTATTCTTGTTACTGATACTCTTTTGCTATCTTCTTACTATTCGTGTTTTTATTGCTGATGATGGTATGAAACTGTTTTTGCTGGCATGACGTTTGTTGCTGTTGTCTTTCTTTGTGTGTGGGTTGCAAGCCTTAGGGCATTTGGGTTGAGGACTGAGGGACTGTCCCAAAACCCAAAACCCAAAACCCAAAACCCTAAACCCTAAACCCTAAACCCTAAACCCTAAACCCTAAACCCAAAACGACTTAAACGGAACCCAAGTTTCTGTGAGGTCGGCGGAAAGCAGGAGGATTTTGTGCTGGTTTGTTGGTTCGTTTGCCAACTGCTTTGTGTTTCTTCGGATCCCGAAGGTTCCGCCCACAATCCTTAAACCATGAGCCCTAAACCCTAAACCCTAAACCCTAAACCCTAAACCCTAAACCCTAAACACTAAACCCTAAACCCTAAACCCTAAACCCTAAACCCTAAACCCTAAACCCTAAACCCTAAACCCTAAACCCTAGACCCTAAACCCTAAACCCTAAACCCTGAACCCAGCTCCCTGGAACCCTTTGGCACACTCTCCTTCCAATTCCGAACCGCCCCGGGCGACAGCTCGGAGGCTCATGGTACTTCTGAACCAATCATAACTGTACTTAGAACTAAGGGTCTAGGGTTTAGGGTTTACGGTTTAGGGTTTAGGGTTTAGGGAAACGTAGAACCCACTCATAAGCCCTCATGTGCCCTAATAAAATATGGCTATAAGTACAGTTATAAGTACAGTTATAAGTACAGTTATAAGTGCAGTTATAAGTACAGTTATAAGTACAGTTATAAGTACAGTTATAACGGGTTAATAAGTACCATGCACCTCCAAGAGAGGATCCCGCACACTGCTGAGGGTGCCCCTGGGCCAGCATGTTCGGGGCTTCAGGTTTAGGGTTTGGGGTTGGGGTTTAGGGTTTAGGGTTTGGGGTTTAGGGTTTAGGGGTTTGGTGCAGTTTTACTGCAGCTTTGGGCAGTGGGCTTCGAATCAATCGGCCCCTGCAGGCACTGAAACCCCAAACCCCAAACCTCAAACCCCAAACCCCAAACCTTAAACCCTAAAACCTACACCCTGAACCCAGAAGTGTTTCTGAGGTCTCCCTGGTGGGCCAGGCGGGCCCCATGGATGAGCGTGATCGGCGTATGTCCGAGGAGTTCATGTCTTGGGCCGCACGGTGACAAGAGAGTTGAGGGTTTAGGGGCTTAGGGTTTAGGGTTGAGGGTTGAGGGTTTAGGGTTGGGGGTTCGGCTGAGGGTTGAGAGTTGAGCCATCTGCCACCCTGTTTCGGGGGTTTGGTTCCACCAAACCCATGTAGGCAGAAAAGGACTTATTCCAGGATGGTTTAGGGTTTAGGGTTTAGGGTTTAGGGTTTAGGATTTGGGAGTGCGAGGAGACGTACCCAGGTAGGGAACCGGAGGGCACCGGGTGCAGGTCTGGCAGGGCGCTTCAGACACTACACTGAACCCAAAACCATAGGGTTTAGGGTTTAGGGTTTAGGGTTTAGGGTTTAGGGTTCAGGGTTTAGGGTTTAGAGACCCCAAACCCTCAACCCCATACAGCGCAAGCCCGTGCATTTCTCAGTGCGCGGGGTGACGGGCTTTCGGACTGACAAGGGTGTCGAATGCTTGCCTTTTCGGCCAAGACCCTAGGCTCTAGACTCTAAACTTCAAACCGTAGCCGATAGACTCCACCCCGAATGCCTTCGAACCCTAAAGACCCTAAACTATAAACTCCAAGCTGCAAAGCTCTGAAGCATTCGGAAGACTCTGAGGTTCTGTCTCGCCGGCTTAGTGCCTTCTACGAGGCCTGGAACTTGCTTCACCCATCGCGACGCCCAAATCTCGCCCGGTGACTCAGAAATTCAACCACAAGCCCAGAATCATAAATCCTGAACTCCCTAAACTCCCTAAACCCCAAACCCTAAACCCAAGCCCCAAAACCCTAAACCCTAAACTCCCTAAACCCCCAACCCTTGAACCCTAAACCCCAAAACCCTAAACTCCCCAAGCCCAAAACCCTAAAGCCCCAAACCCTCAACTCCCAAACTCCCTAACCTCCCCAAGCCTTAAACCCCAACCCCCCCCCAAACCCTAGAACGCCTGGAGGTGGAAGGCCAACCCTAAACCCTAAACCCTAAACCCTAAACCCTAAACCCTAAACCCTAAGCCCTAAGCCCTAAACCCTAAACCCTAAACCCTAAACCCTAAACCCTAAGCCCTAAGCCCTAAACCCTAAACCCTAAACCCCGCAACCTCCAAAACCCTGGAGGTGGAAGGACAGGGCATCCTCGAGCTGCAGCCCAAGGGCCCTGAGGCCTCGGGCGGGTTTGGGGTTTTGGGGGTTTAGGGTTTAGGGTTTAGGGTTTAGGGTTTAGGGTTTAGGGTTTAGGGTTTAGGGTTTGGGGGTTCAGGGTTTCAGGGTTTTCAGGGTTTCAGGGTTTCAGGGTTTTCGGGTTTTCGGGTTTTGGGGGTTTAGGGTTAGGGTTTGGGGTTTAGGGTTTTAGGGTGGTTGGGTTTAGGGTTTAGGGTTTTAGGGTGGTTGGGTTTAGGGTTTAGTTGTCGCGCTTCCGGGGTTTGGGGGTTCAGGGTGGTTGGGCTTCACGGTTTTCAGGGTTTTTGGGCGGTGGCGTTCAGGGTTCAGGGTTCAAGGTTCAGGGTTTAGGGTTCAGGGTTTAGGGTTCAGGGTTCAGGAATCAGGAATCAGGGCTCAGGATGGTTGGGTTTAGGGTTTAGGGTTTAGGGTTTAGGGTTTAGGGTTTAGGTTCATTTTTTCTCTGAAGCTTCCGGAAGTTCGGCCGCAGCGAATCAGTGAATCTGCAGTCTGGGGCTCGGTGCCGCTGAGAACTTCGAGTGCCGTCGAGCGCCTTGAAGATTCCCAAGCCACCCGTCAAGTCCAACCCTATACCCTAAACCCTAAACCCTAAACCCTAAACCCTAAACCCTAAACCCTAAACCCTAAACCCTAAACCCTAAACCCTAAACCCTAAACCCTAAACCCCCAAGACCTAAACTCTACCAAACCCCTGAAAGGTGGGTCTGCCCATGCGGCTTCTTCTGAGAGCTGGGACGATGATCTTCTTCCGGCATGACCAGATGAACTACAGGCAGAGACTCCATAGGGTTTAGGGTTTAGGGTTTAGGGTTTTAAACCCTAAACCCTACATCCTGATCCGATATAGGAGCCTACAAGATTTGGGTGTTGTCCCTAGTTGTATATGACACCAACTGACCTAGAAACACCCTAAGCTCTAAACCATTAAGCCTAAACCGCCATACGGAGGGCTTAGGAGGGTTTAAGGGCACGAGGGGTTCAGGCCAAACCCCCAGTGCTCCAAGCCAGAAACTCAACCCAGGCTCCTAAACCCTGAACCCTAAACCCTAAGCCCTAAACCCTAAACCCTACACCCCCCTAATCTGGCAAGTGGAGGTATATCCCAGACCACGATGACTGCTTGGTCTTGCAGACCTGGCTCATGGACAAGGCCGGTTGCCCCAGAGGTACTATTCATTTGGAGATCTCGGTTCTCTACATAGCGCCCTACAGGGTTTTGAAGAGAAGGAGTTTTGGCAAGACAACAGGCAGATGGGTGAACCGCATCATCCGGAAGCTCTGACCTCAAATGGTGCAACACCCTAAACGCAGCAAAGCCCTTAAGCCCTTAATCCCTTATCTAGGACCGGGAGTAGGCCCTTTCTCCCTTTTTGTAGGGTTGGGGTTCCCTGAAAATCCCCTTGAACCCAAAAAACCCAAAAAACCCAAAAAACCCAAAAAACCCAAAAAACCCAAAAAACCCCAAAAAACCAAAAAAACCCAAAAAAACCCAAAAAACCCAAAAAACCCAAAAACCCAAAAACCCAAAAACCCTAAACCCTAAACCCTAAACCCTAAACCCTCAATCCCTAAACCCTAAACCCTAAACCCTAAACCCTAAACCCTAAACTATTCCTCTACAGCCCCGGACGAGCCGAAGCGCCTCTCGAGGCTGAGCCGCTGCAGTTCCGCCAGCTGCCCAAGTGCCCAGGAGCCAGCGGGTTTAGGGTTTAGGGTTTAGGGTTTAGGGTTCAGGGTTGAGGGTTTAGGGTTTAGGGTTTAGGGTTTAGGGTTTAGGAGCTTGGGGTCTCGGGTTTTGGGGTTCAGGGTTGAGGGTTTAGGGTTTCGGGTTCAGGGTTTAAGCTTGAAGGGTTTAGGGTTTAGGGTTTAGGGTTTAGGGTTTAGGGGGCTTGCGTGTTTCTTGTCCAAAAACTCCAGGGGACTTGGGCCATGAGGTTGGGGCTGTAGATGGGGGTGTTAGAAGTTGGCAGGGACGCAGGAGGGGCCAGAAACAGGTTCGAGAGATGCTGGAACAAGCAGGAGATACCGCGAGGAGCGAGGCGTCTGGGTCAAACCCTAAACCCTACAGCACTCAACCCGAAACACCCTAGACCCTAAGCACCTACAACCCTAAACACCCAAATGGTAAACACCCAAATTCTGAACCCCAAACCCCAGACCCCCAAGCCTAAACCCTAGAACTCCTCTAGCTTCCTAGAAAGGCATAGAAGCACAAAGCAGGAAGTCCTTCTTGAACCACCCCCCCCCCCCCTCCAGCAAAAAGCCCTTGGGATGTTCGGGGTTGAGGGTTGAAGGTTGAAGGTTCAGGGTTCCCAGGGTTGGGGATATTCAGGGTTCAGGGGGTTTAGGGTTCTGGGGGTTTAGGGTTTAGGGTTTGGGGTTTAGGGTTTAGGGTTTAGGAACTGAAGGCCTAAAGCCCTTCACCGGCCAAAGAACCTGGCAGGCGAGCAGGGCTGTGACCGCGTGCACGTGAAGTGCCTGAGCTGCTGTTTCTGTGTCTCGGGGTGCCCGTTGCTCCAAACCCCAAACCCCAAACCCGAACCAAGCCCCAAAAACTTCAACACTACCCTAAACCCTCAAACGTAAACCTTCCCCCCTCCGCCCTCTCTCCTCTCCCCCCGCCCCCTTCCTCGCCCCCCTCCCCGGGCCCCCTCCCTCCATCCCCCCAGAAGCAAATCAGGCCCCCTCGTACACTGTCAGCGTCGTGTTGAGTGTGGGGTTGTCAGGTTCAATCGGGCACCCTAAACCCTAAACCCTAAACCCTAAACCCTAAACCCTAAACCCTAAACCCTAAACCCTAAACCCTAAACCCTAAACCCTAAACCCTAAACCCTAAACCCTAAAACCCTAAAACCCTAAAACCCTAAACCCTAAACCCTAAAACCTAAAACCTAAACCCTAAACCTGAGTATCTGGGAGGGTTGAGAGCCCGAAAGCTCGACAGCGCCAGCACACATTGTTGTGGGGTCATGTTGGCTTAGGGTTTAGGGTTTAAGGGTTTAAGGGTTTAAGGGTTTAAGGGTTTAAGGGTTTAAGGGTTTAAGGGTTTCAGGGTTTAAGGGTTTAAGGGTTGTAAGGGTTTCAGGGTTTAAGGGTTTAAGGGTTTAAGGGTTCAGGGTTGTAAGGGTTCAGGGTTTAGGGTTTAGGGTTTAGGGTTTAAGGTTTTAGGGTTTAAGGGTTCAAGGTTTAGCGTTTAGGGTTTAAGGGTTCGGGGTTTAGGGTTTAGGGGTTCAGGTTTTTTTTGGAAAAGGGTTTAAGGGTTTCGGGTTTAGGGTGTAAAAGTTCAGGCTTTAGGGTTTAGGGGTTCAGGGTTTAGGGTTTAGGGAAAAGGGTTTAGGGGTTCAGGGTTTAGGGCTCAGGGTTTAGGGGCTCAGGGCTTAGCAGGATCAAAAGACCTTAAACTTGGAAGGGCTTCGGGCTCAGGGTTCAGGGCTTAGGGCGCAGGATACCTTCGCCCGAAAGAGTGCTTAGGGTTTAGGGTTTGGGGTTTAGGGTTTAGGGTTTAGGGTTTAGGGTTTAGGGTTTAGGGTTGGGGGTTGAGGGTTGAGGGTTGAGGGTTTAGGCTTCAGGTCGATGACCGAGCGCTTCCCTGCCGGGGCCGAGAACTGCGACATGAGCTTCGCGCCCCTTGGCCGGGAAGTGGGAGAACGCCAATGAAAGCATGTGCAGTTCTCTTGGGTTTAGGGTTTAGGGTTTAGGGTTTAGGGTTTAGGGTTTGGGGTGTAGGGTTTAGGGGTTCGGGTGCTCAGGGTTTAGGGTGTTCAGGGTTGAGGGTGTTTAGGGTTTAGGGTGTTCAGGGCTTAGGGCTTAGGGCTTAGGCCTTAGCAACTCCGAAGGTGCAGTGTGCGTGTGTGTGTGTGGGTGGGAGTACAACTTGGTTCAAAGCAGGGTGTTCCTCCGACTGAACCATGACTTGGCATGCCCAGCCTCAATACGTGCTTTATGTGTCCATGGTTTTCGTTCGCCTTTGCGCATCACAGGGTGCATCGTTGATGAATTCGACAACGGCTTCAACGGCCACAACGACTACGACAACATGGAGCACGTCAACGGTGAGGACCTCAACCGCCACGTCTACATCTACAAGTTCCATTGGTGAGGCCGCTGTGGTGCTGGAGGAGGAGAGGGAGCTCAGCTTTGGGGACTGGCTACAGGACCCAGTGATCTTGATGAGCTTGACGATGGTAGTTTGCTGCTTCAAGTGCCGCTGCTGCAAGAGCTTGCTCGCGCAGAAGTCGATGCGGTGTTTTGAGGAGCTTACGGCCGTGGACAGCGTCGTCAACGCGCTCTTCTGGAACTTTCTCATCTACCAAACAGCCTACTACTCTTCTGCTGGGTTGGTGCTTCTCGTCCTGGGACTCGGTTTCCTCAAGAGCCTCTTTCTCTTGACCCTGCTGGGAGCGAACGTAGTGGGACCAGATGAACGAATGACACAGCCAACAGTCTATACTCAGGGGTCGATCCTTCGTTGCATCATGGTCTGCACGGCTCAAGTCATACTGTTCGGATGCGTCATCGTGAAGGTATGGACAAGAGACCTCGAGACACACCGGATCATGGACCGCAGTGAGGTCGAATGGATGGGAGATCCTGAGCAAGTCGAGGAGGTGGTGAGGTTTCGCTACTTCTTACTTGGTGCATTCATCAGTTGTGCTACGCAGCATCAGACAAACAGCTTCATCACGAATGAGTATTACTTGTTCTGGCTTCCTATCTTCTCCAGAAAAGCTCCATGTCGGTTCGGACCATGTGAGAAGTGGTTCCGCTTCGGGCTTTCCTGGCTGGCAAATTCAGTCTTGGCTAAAACAGTCATCACTCTGATGCCGTTAGTCTTAATGGATTCGTCCGACCCCATGGAGTTCGCCAAGGACATGACGTGTACGCTCTTCATTGCTGAGCTGGATAACATACTTGAGACCTCCGGCATCACGTCCCATGGAGGTTGGCACAACGACGACGACGACAAAGGCAGCGTGTAGATGCATCTGAGCCTGCTGCTTGTGCAAGACGGAGACGACTTGCAGTTCTGCATTGGTCTGGACTCCACCCTTGGTAGATCTTGGTAGCTTTGTTAAACAACGCGCTCAGATTTCCAATCCAGCCTTGCTAGTGTTTCACAGGAGAACTCAGCAAACCAAACGCGAGGCGATGTGCAAAACACTGCACTTCGATCTTGACGCTATGAAAGATCGGAGTTTGATGTGGACGTTGCAAACGCAACTGTCGCACAATTACTGTACTCTTGAGAACAGACCCGCTTGGCTTGAAAATGTCGCGTCCACTCGGGTACACAAGTGTACTCCGGTGTGAGAGCCGCTGCCACGTGAAGCAACTCTTGTTAACCTCGCTGCTTCCAATCCAATGGTTGTCTTCAGCATCCATCTGGACCCAAAGCGGGGAATCTGACCACAAGCTCTACGTACATGAATTATTCATCTCTGCTAGGAGAAAGCCCTCTGCCCGTGCCTTGGGTGGTTCAGGGGTTCTTGTTTTCTCGTTTCTTGCATTCAAAGCCTCTAGGGCCCTTGAACCCGAGAACCCACAGCACCCCAAAGGCAGGGGACTCAGGGCTTTGGATAGGTGTTTCAAGGCAAGGTGAGGAATCATGGCTCCATGATGAATAACGGGATATTCCGCACCCTTGAGAATGTACACGTATATCGACAACGCAGAACTAACTATTTAACTAACCAGCTAACTAACTAACGAACGAACTAACTAACGAACGAACTAATTAACCAACCAACAAAATAACTAACTAGCTAACTAACTCTCTCTCTCTCTCTCTGTGTAACTATGAGAGCATGTATGCCTACATATACCATATACATGTATGTAGACTGCAACTTTCTGAATATCTAGGCTGAGGGGTTCGGCTTTCGGGAGTTGGGGGGGGCAGCCTCAGGCAGATTGGGCGAGTCCCCATCGTCCCTACACTTGGAGCTGAACAGCTGAACCCAACTTTGGGTTGGTTTCTGGGTTTAGGGGTTCAGGGTTTAGGGTTTAGGGTTTAGGTTTTAGGGTTTAGGGTAGAGGGTTTAGGGTAGAGGGTTTTGGGAGGTATTCGGAATCGAAAGCTCCGGAACTCGAACCCCAAAAGGGACTAGGATCTTCGAGAGCTTCCGCCCTCATGTTGCTGCCGAGCGCTTAAACCCTAAACTTTGTCATAGTTGGATACCATTCTACATCATTGAGCGTACTTAAACCCAATAAGGAAGATAGATTTAAATTGTTAATATTATCCCAACCATGAACTAGTCAACCCGAAACCCTAAACCCTAAACCCTAAACCCTAAACCCTATACCCTACACCCTAAACCCTAAACCCTAAACCCTAAACCCTAGTTGCATTTTAACGTTTAGTGCCCAGGCTCTTCAGCGCCGGTACAGACACACTTCTCGAGCCACCCATCACGCGCTTCGACAAGGCGGCTGTTTACGGGTTAGGGTTCTAAGGGGAGTATAGGTTTAGGTTAGGAAGGGGTTTAGGGTTTAGGGTTTAGGGTTTAGGGTTTAGGGTTTAGGGTTTAGGGTTTAGGGTTTAGGGTTTAGGGTTACGGGGCTTGGGGGCCTAGAGTTCGCGGGCTGTTTAATTTGGGGCCAGGGGCTAAGGGCCTTGGCTCTACGGGTAGGCTCTGGGGTAAGCCCTGCACCCGAAACCCGAGACTCCTAACTCAACAATACACCCCAAACCCTAAACCCTCTATCCTAAACCCTAAACCCTATACTCCAAAAACCCCGCAAACCCGATACATATACATATATATATATATGCTCACCCCCCCCCAATGGACCCACCGCGGGTGGCAGCCGAGTCCTAGCCAGATCAAGGGAAAAACAACAAAACAAGAAACTAACCAAAACCAAAAAAACCAAAAAAACCAAAAACAACAAAAAAAACAAAAAAACATCTTTTCCAAAACTATGGGGCTGGGGCCTCCAAAAGATGGTTTTTTTTGGTTTTCTCGAGAAAAAGATGGTTTTTTTGGTTCGAAACCATCTTTTTCTCGAGAAAAAGATGGTTTTTGGAGGTCTTCTCCTGGTAAAACCATCTTTTTCTCGAGTAAAAGATGGTTTTTCGAAGGATGGTTGCTCAAAACCATCTTTTTCTCGAGAAAAAGATGGTTTCGAACTAAAAAACCTCGAGAAAACCAAAAAAACCAAAAAACCAAAAAACACAATCTTTTGGAGGCCCCAGCCCCATAGTTTTGGAAAAGATGTTTTTTTTTTTTTTTTTTTTTTTTTTTTTTTTTTTTTGAGCAACCATCCTTCGAAAAACAATCTTTTTCTCGAGAAAAAGATGGTTTTACCAGGAGAAGACCTCCAAAAACCATCTTTTTCTCGAGAAAAAGATGGTTTCGAACCAAAAAAACCATCTTTTTCTCGAGAAAGCCAAAAAAACCATCTTTTGGAGGCCCCAGCCCCATAGTTTTGGAAAAGATTTTTTTTTGTTTTTTTTGTTTTTTTTGCGTTTTTTTGTTTTCTCGAGAAAAAGATGGTTTTTTGGTTCGAAACCATCTTTTTCTCGAGAAAAAGACTGTTTTGAGCAACCATCCTTCGAAAAACCATCTTTTTCACGAGAAAAAGATGGTTTTACCAGGAGAAGACCTCCAAAAACCATCTTTTTCTCGAGAAAAAGATGGTTTCGAACCAAAAAACCATCTTTTTCTCGAGAAAACCAAAAACACCGTCTTTTGGAGGCCCCAGCCCCATAGTTTTGGAAAAGATGGTTTTTTTTTGTTTCTCGAGAAAATGATGGTTTTTTGGTTCGAAACCATCTTTTTCTCGAGAAAAAAGATGGTTTTGAGCAACCATCATTCGAAAAACCATCTTTTTCTCGAGAAAAAGATGGTTTTACCAGGAGAAGACCTCCAAAAACCATCTTTTACTCGAGAAAAAGATGGTTTCGAACCAAAAAAACCATCTTTTTCTCGAGAAAACCAAAAAAGACCATCTTTTGGCGGCCCCAGCCCCATAGTTTTGGAAAAGATGTTTTTCTGTTTTTGTTTTTTGTTTTTTTAGATTTTTTGTTTTTTTGGGTTTCTGGGTTTTTTTTGTGAAACTTAGGCATAACCCTACAAGTTTAAGTTTTATGAGTTTAAGCCTCAAGCAGTATAGGGTTATAAGGTTCTAATCCTTTAGGTATTGCCTAAACCTTGAATCCTAAACCTTCAACTTTAAACCCTGCAAGGTTAACCCCGTGAAAGATTTAGAGATAGACACCGAAAAGACCCTAAACCTTCTTACAGGGTGTACTGGTTTAAAAACCGATGTAAACCTGCAGGTGCTAGATCCCTATAGGGTGCTAAGGTTCTGACCCTGAAGGGTTTAGGGTTAAGGCTTAAATGCCCTCTAGGTTTAAATGCCTAAGCCTTAAAACCCCAAACCTTCAAACCTTCATCCTATGGGGTTTGAAGGTCAAGGGTTTAGGCTTGATGCCGAGGGCTTTAGGGTCTTGAATCTAGAGGGTTTTGGGTTAAGGAATAGATGCCTAAACCTTAAACCCTTAAGGTTTAAACTCTATGGGCTTAGGTTTAAATGTCTAAATCTTAAGCCCTAAACCTTTAAACCTTCACACTACAAAGTTTAAGGGTGTTAAGGGTGACAAATTAATTACATACTTAGGTTTAAACGCCTATATCTTAAACCCCAAACCTTTAAACCTTAACCCTATCGGGTTTAAAGGTTAAGGGTTTATTGTTAATTGCCGTCTTAGGTTTAAATGTCTGAATCTTAAACCCTAAAACTTTAAACCTTTAACCTTTCAGGGTTTAAAGGTTAAGGGTGTCGGTTTAATTGCAAACTTAGATTTAAATGTCTAAGTAAAGAATCCTAAACCTTTAAATCTTATCCCCAAAAGGGTTTAAGGTTAAGGGTTCAATATGAACTGCCGGCATAGGTCTAAATACCCAAACCTTAAACTTAAACCCTAAACCATTAAATATCTTAACCCTATAGGGTTTTAAGGTTAAAGGCTTAGCGTTAATTGCCGGAATCGGTTTAAATGCCTAAAACTTAAGCCCGAAACCTTTAAACCTTAGCCCAACAGGGTTTAAAGGTTAAGGGTTTAAAATTAATTGAAGTCTGAGATTTACATGCTTAAATGTTAAATCCTAAACCTTTAAAATCTTCACCCTACAGGGTTTGAAGGTTAAGGGCTTGGCTACAGTTTTAAATGGCTAAATCTTAAACCCTGAGCCTTTAAACCTTAACCCTACAGGGTTTAAAGGTTAAGGGCTTAAAAATAGTTGCAGGCTTAGGTTTTAATACCTACATCTTAAACCCTAAACCTGTAAAAATCTTAACCCTATAGAATTCAAAGGTTAAGGGCTTAGGGTTTAATTGCCGGCATAGGTTCAAATGCCTAAATCTTAAACCCTTAACCTTGAAACCTCAACCCTACAGGGTTTAAAGGTTAAGGGTCTTTTTTGCAGGTTAGGTTTACATGCCTAAATCTTAAATTGTAAACAAAAGCCAACAGAAAGAAAAACCCTCCGTGTGTGTGCGGGAGAGTGAATTGAGGAATACAGTCAAAAATCCGGTCACCGGAAAATCACCAGACAGCATAGGTTTTATCGGTATTTGCGGTACTTTTGCAAAGATCAAGGCCCGCGGTGAGTCCATTGGGGAGGGGGGGGTTGACCATATATATATACATATAAATATCATATATATATATAAGAAACAATAAATAGCTATTTGTGAGCAGGTCAAAGCATGCATGGAGTGCTTGCTTAGTGCTAGTGCAGCTTGTAGTTTTCCTTTGCATGTAGAGTTTTGCAATTCGAATCAATGCCAATATTTTGGCTCAAGTACCGAGCTTGTGCCTTTGAGCACGGTAGTTTCGTACAGTAGCTCTTAGGTTGCTGTGCGGTCCGACCAGACGCACTCAGGCGTAGCAGCACAAGTGCTTGAACTCGCGAAGTCGTAAAACAGCGTGACCGGGCTGTGATTGCATTGGCTTAGTGCAAGTCCAGTG